ACAATCAAGTGTGCCGGAAATTGCGCGTCCAGGAGCAGCCGACTATCTAAAGCTAGCCATGCACGGGAAAGGTTAACTGGCAGCTTATAAACACGGAGATCAACAGCCAACTTTCAATTGTCTTTGCTTGGAATACAATTTTTTGTGTGCTAAAACAGGAGCAGCAATGACAAACAAAGACATGAAAGAAAAGTATTGTGTGTGGTAATCCACTTAATATTGTTAACCACTTATGCTTTTTTGGAACAACATGTTTCCTCCGCTCAAGCTGCTTTGGATTTTCTTGGATCTTCTTGCATATAATATCTACCGCAAAAAACTATAGAAATAACAATCATGGGCTATAATGGCGACAGAAACAGCAGATTTGTTGAATTGTCCGGATGAATCAGATCTCCATCGATCAGCTTGTATTTTTTTGGACCGGTCTCCATCCAGTGGGATAGAAAATATCATCTGTAACTCCATCGGACTTTTAGCATTTTCTTGATAGAAAATAATCTTACACTGTAGTACGAATAGTAGCTTTGTTTAAACAATACAGCTGGAATGCACAAAATTAAATGGCTGAAATAATGGATACCGAAGAAAAATTACTAGTAGCGAAGTGTTTTTGACTGAGCCTGAGGTATTTTTTCGTGGTTTCAAAATGACGAAGGCACTGTCCAGCATTCACTTTTGTTAGAAAAGCTGTCCATCTATGGCTTTAGTAAGAATAGCTTATCGTTGGTAAGTTCCTATTCGGCAAATAGAGAACAATACGTTACCTACCACAACTGTACATCGAAGATAGAAGTTATCAAGCACGAAGTACCACAAGGAACAGGTTTGGGGCCTATTCCTTTTTTGATAGATACTAATGACCTACCGAGCTGCATCGACAGTAAATGCATACTTTTTTGCTTGTCACACCATAACCGTCTCTTCCGACAAGGACATCTAACAATTGACAATAAATTTTCAGCAACATTCGACTAATATGCAACAATGGTTCATGTCTAGCTGGTTATTCCTTAACACCACAAAATCTCAGTCGCTTGTGATCGTTACTCGGCCACACAATATCAAATGGACACAACCAATCAAATCTTTGGTGTTCACTTAGATTCAAAATATACTTCAATACATTGACAAAAAAATAACACTGCTAGATCTATTCCGGAACTAAAACAGTGCTCATAACAGCGTGTCATGTATATTTTGAATCCAGGATTCGTTATTTATATTAGTCTGGGATCAGACATATACTTAAATGTTTATTGCATGCTGAAATATAATGATTTTAAAACCCAGAAGGATACGCTCAGATTTAAGAACTATATATTGTGTATTTATTGATCGTCGTCTATCCGTTGATTATTTTTTTATATGTAATTTTATTTTTCTATTCACTCATTTAGTTTGCTTTACAACTTAATCATTTATGTTTTAATTGTTTATTTTCTTACCTACGTGTGTACGATTTGTAGTATTTGTTAATTTCGATACTACTGACTTGTGTAAGCACATTTTGTGTGATAACCTTCAATTAATCAATTTTCGTCAACTATCGATACGATTTGGCATTATTTCGGTTTCTTTAACGTGTGTGGTCAGCCTTACGTTGACGATGCTGTGGCTTGAGCTCCACTCCGGGCAGAAACAACGTTACACGACTTCGCCTTATCCATAACTTATAATTCTATTTTCGTACAAGGATCGATGCTACGGCGTTGCTTGCATGGACGGGATGGATTTTTTACATCCGGGATTGTTAACCTCGTTTCGCGTCGTGAACACGGATTCGCTATTTGTAGCTTATAGACTACGTTCCTTACTTGAATGATACAGTTCAAAGTTAAGTGTTATTAACACAACTAACTTCAAATAACTTGGATGTATCCTCTTCGGAGTAACGGCTCAATAACCATTCTTAAACAGATCTTCGCAATTCTCTCTCATTTGATTGATAGATATGCTATTGTGAGACGTTTCAGATTTGTTACACAGGGTGCCCCAATATTCCGTGGACGTAGACGTACCACGTATTTTTAGACTCAAATTAAATCTATTGGACATGCCTTGCCTAGAGTTTGGTTTGTTCGCTAGAGGTCGTCCAAGTTTTCTCTTCAAAACAGATTTTTTCAGATAGTCCGATTTGTGTGAAATTTCGAACACATGTGTTTTGCTAGATGCCCTGTTATCTGACATACAAAAAACCTGAAACGTTCCAAGAAACGGAAAATTTACATAGAGAGATATTATGTTTTTTGAAAGTTATATGACGGAAAACAATGTCGCTCTGTCCCATCATGTCTGTCCTTTTGGAGTGTTTCAACATTTTATTAATTCTTTTTTGTAGTAATAAAAATTCGATAAAACTCGACTCCTCCCTTTATTGTTTTTGTGGACATTTGATATATTGACAAGCAGAACGGTGATCAATTATCGAACATTTAAAATAATATCCGCAAAGTTGAAAGCATCTGCGTACTTGCTCTACAATCTGCGCGATGATGGATTCTCCCCTTTAATCTGAAATCCCATTTCCAGCTAATACTCTGCGACCTTAATGGACAAATTGACATTTAGAGGGGAGCCGAAACCTGACATTATTAAGTAATGAATGAAGTCGGTGACCTTAGGCGGAAGTCAGCGCGTTGCGTCATCATACAGTACCGGCGACCTTTTCGTTTGTGCCCTTTTAAAAAATGACCACACGCTCAAGCGATCTGCACGGTAGCCTTGTCTGCATCGTTTGTGCGAGTTTAGGAAAACTCAGTGTTGCTGTTACGTGGCGGTTCACGGAAAACAGAATAATAAAATAATTCACAACTTTTGTATAAGAGTAAATAATTATCGATGAGAATTTGAATTGGTCTAGTCACATTCATAAGTTTTTTGATAAAACAACGTCGATGATAGCAGCTTTGTCCCGTAGACTACTAGTCAACTACAAAAAGTAAAATAAGCATTTACACTCCCTCTCCGGTGGACATCATCCCTTAAAAGTGCATACAAACAATCAGTTTAAGCTATTAAAGATATAATTTTGTTCAGAGGGCATACCCTTATTGAATTGAGCCTTTGACCCACGAGCCTCAAAGATAAGGGGATTTTTCAGAAGAAGTGAGTTTTGTAAATGGTGCTGGAGATGCAATCAAGAATCGAAAAATTTTAGCACGTTACTTCATAAGCTTTTGAATTAGAAAAATAAAAGCTACTCTTTTTTTTTTGGCGTTTTTCATCATGCTTAAGAAATATTTTTGAGTGAGTAAGTTTTGAAATCAGTCAGATATCGTTTTCTAAGCTAAAAATCAACATTTTTGCAGTGCAATTTTCCTTACAGGACTTTGGATAGTGTTGTAGGCTGAATTTACTTTAGGAGAGTTTCTAACCTTGCGCGGGAAGTTAATAAACTGTGAACATTTGATGTTCGTAGACTGTACATAACCAAACTTTACAGAAACGTAACATTTTGCATTGAAAAAGAATCAGAATGCATACTTTTCCTATTACACGTGAAATAAAATCGCAAAGAGCAACAACGCGTATAAACACACAGCGTATTCTGAAGCGATGTGACGTAAACATATCGTTGCTGGAGCATTTATCGGGAATGGCCTAAGTTGGCGTCGGCTATAAGTGTCCGCCACTTTATCTCCGAAGTATTCGAGTCAATATTTTTATCGAGCATACGGCCGTTGGCCAAACAGCAGTCGAAACTATCTTGTTTGGCTCTTCGAGCGGACGAAAAGTGCTCTTGCTGTCGATGTTCGTTTTTATCGTGAGCGCGAGCCACTTCGAAAAATGGAAATGGTCATGGAGAGAAGCTTTTTGCATCGCTCCACTCGATTCCTATAAATATGGTAATAGTTTTATGCTCTTTCTATTCATTCTGTGCCGTTTCTATCGATTTATAAAAATTGACTAAAACATATATAGATGTCGTGGTCATTGTCGTATAGACCAGTTAGGTGAAAAATAAATCTTCCGCCTTTTGTTGGGTACTTCGACAAAATTCAAGCAATGAGGACTCTTTATACTTTATTAGTATCTAGCTTTCAATGGACTTTGCCATCTTCATCAGGAGCTGAAATAACATTGAGAAAAAAGTAGCAACTATTGTGCAAAATGATTTTAAATTAATTTTATATGTGAGATTGTTGCTAAATGTTATTAACGTTTAGGTTGAGGGAAACACCCAGTAACCTGGTGAAAGCTGGATACATGGTAATTTCGTCAAAATTAATATAAACTACACACAGTTGTATGTCAGGAACGAATTAAAACGGATTAAAAATATTTAAAACGAAAGTTAAAATTACATCGTAAACCACCTAATGCTGCTCAAAATGGTGGGCACAGGATCATAAGTAGGATGAAACATTTGACAGATGATAGAAGGTTGGTGGTGTCAGTGTTATGTACTTTGTGATGAGAAAACCAAATTTCTACTTAAAAAAAAACTTCAGGAGGTAAGGAAGTAAACATTTTAAACCAAAATTGGGACAACTTCGCATTTCACTTTCTTTGATTTTTTCACTCCATAATATGGAGGCGTGCTTAAAATACAACTAAAGTTTCAAGATGGCATTTGCATTAATCCAGGAGTCTCGTATTTTCGAAGTTCAGGGTATTTTTGGATATTCCCAGAAGAAACTTTTCAAGTGCCATCACTTTAGTTATCTAAATGTACAGTTTTGTCCTCATTTAACCATCCTGACGTCTTTTTTCATCTCCATAACTTCAACGGTGAGGGGCGAATTTAAAATAACCAATATAGAGCCATAGGAGGAGTTATGGGGGCATGGGAGACACACTCTCACACCTGCTTGTCAATTTTCAATTACCCAGCACACTTTTCCTAACTCCGCCCATTCATAGGTAATACAGTGTTCGTTTTTCATGTTGTTAAGATATCATGTAAGGGGGACGGGTGGTGTGCGGGGAGGGGGTATCGTAAAACTTATATAACTAAAAATCTAGTAACTAAGTAACCTTTAAAGAGACTTCCGTCACTATTTCATAAACGTCCTGTGTATTACGAGTCCATGTTTATAATTCTGCACAGCTTCCGCAGCGTACAGCGACTTTACGTTCGGCGATATCAACGAACTGGCACTGCTATCTTTGATAGCGTCTTTGTAGCTTATTTCCTCCTTAGCGGCATACAACAGCTCCGTCCAGAATGGGCCATATCCAGACGACGGGAAGCTGGTAGCTGCCTCGAAGCTGAAGCTGGAACAGCTCTGACGACCGTTTTGCGCGTTTCAATGTGTCGCTTCTAGTTTATTTCGAGAAATTGGGAGGAGCTTTGAGAAAATCGACTGTCACAACGGACGTCAGCTGTTTCTTTGTACAGTTTTCACAGACTAAGCGTATAGCTGTAAAATTAGAATGGGATCTCTCTTGTTATTGTTTTTATTACACCTGGAGCACTCTTCGAGGAGCTGAGATATTGTCTCTTATCGAGGTAGTCCAATGAATAAAAGGATACGATATTTTTACCTACCACGCGTCCGATAAGAAAGTAGTATTTAAAATGGGGTATTATGTTTTTTGGATATTATATGTTACGAAAAACCGTCTCTGAATTCCGTTAGTCTGTCTTTGTCTGCCCCTGTCTGTCTCTGTCTATCTCTGTCTGTCTCTGTCTGTCTCTGTCTGTCTCTGTCTGTCTCTTTCTGTCTCTGTCTGTCTCTGTCTGTCTCTGTCTGTCTCTGTCTGTCTCTGTCTGTCTCTGTCTGTCTCTGTCTGTCTCTGCCTGTCTCTGTCTGTCTCTGTCTGTCTCTGTCTGTCTCTGTCTGTCTCTGTCTGTCTCTGTCTGTCTCTGCCTGTCTCTGTCTGTCTCTGTCTGTCTCTGTCGATCTCTCTAAGTAACTTGGAAAGTACTGCTCGGATTTTGACGAAGCAATGGACAATCTTTGTACTTAAATTGGCCCAATTGTTCAGATTTGGAGTTAGTGTCTATATATGCTTCCTACCCCAGAAATTCTACCCACCTATTAGTATGTATTTCGCACATCATAGATTTCATTTGTAGATTTGCTCTAAAACAGTAATATTTTCAACAGACGCGTTGCGTATCGGTTGCGAACAATCCGCAACCTATATGCACAATGTCTCTGTCTGTCTCTGTCTATCTCCGTCTGTCTCCGTCTGTCTCCGTCTGTCTCTGTCTGTCTCTGCCTGTCTCTGCCTGCCTCTGTCTGTCTCTGTCTGTCTCTGTCTGTCTCTGTCTGTCTCTGTCTGTCTCTGTCTGGCCTCTGTCTGTCTCTGTCTGTCTCTGTCTGTCTCTGTCTGTCTCTGTCTGTCTCTGTCTGTCTCTGTCTGTCTCTGTCTGTCTCTGTCTGTCTCTGTCTCTCTCTGTCTGTCTCTGTCTGTCTCTGTCTGTCTCTGTCTGTCTCTGTCTGTCTCTGTCTGTCTCTGTCTGTCTCTGTCTGTCTCCGTCTGTCTCCGTCTGTCTCCGTCTGTCTCTGTCTGTCTCTGTCTGTCTCTGTCTGTCTCTGTCTGTCTCTGTCTGTCTCTGTCTGTCTCTGTCTGTCTCTGTCTGTCTCTGTCTGTCTCTGTCTGTCTCTGTCTGCCTCTGTCTGTCTCTGTCTGGCCTCTGTCAGTCTCTGTCTGGCCTCTGTCTGTCTCTGTCTGTCTCTGTCTGTCTCTGTCTGGCCTCTGTCTGTCTCTGTCTGTCTCTGTCTGTCTCTGTCTGTCTCTGTCTGTCTCTGTCTCTCTCTGTCTGTCTCTGTCTGTCTCTGTCTGTCTCTGTCTGTCTCTGTCTGTCTCTGTCTGTCTCTGTCTGTCTCTGTCTGTCTCTGTCTGTCTCTGTCTGTCTCTGTCTGTCTCTGTCTGTCTATGTCTGTTTGTGTGTCACTGTCGATCTCTCTAAGTAACTTGGAAGGTACTGCTCGGATTTTGACAAAGCAATGAACAATATTTGTAATCAAATTGGCCCAATTGTTCAGATTTGGAGTTAGTATCTATATATGCTTCCTACCCCAGACATTGTACCCACCTATTAGTATGTATTTCGAACATCATAGATTTTATTTGTACATTTGCTCTTAAAATAGTAATATTTTCAACAGACGCGTTGCGTACTGGTTGCGATCAATCCGCAACCTGTATGTACAAAATTTTGCCTGAGCCTGACTGCTCATAGGTGGCGCGTATGGCACGGTTGGCTAGTGTGGTTCAGTAACGTTGCCAGATCGTCGATAATTTCGGTAGGATAGGGAAGAAACTTGTAGCGTCAAATGGGTGGGGATCATACACTTTGACAAATTTTTCTATTAGTCCGTGTGATTTTGGTCTGATTGTTTTATGGTATGCAACGAGATGACTGAAAAACAATGTTATCAGTTTCTTTTTTGCCAAAATATGCATTTTTTAAGCACTTTTAAGCCTTTTTTTCTTAAGTTGTAATTTGTCAACAGCTCTAAAATTGTACGTGAATATTCCACTTATATGGAAGAATGCAGCTGATGATTACTCATTTTCATACCACTTTCTCTCTTCAAAAAATCTTTGCTATTCTTGTATTGTATTCTGTAGACCTTATTCTCCGAAGTATTTAAATAAAAAAAAATTAGATAATTATCTAAAAGATCCTATTCAGGCGTGAGGACATAAATTACAATTGACAAGTTCATGGAGACAACGGGCGTGCCGAGCTGTGCGGCTCACAAAGGCTATTCGCTTTTGAATGGCGGTATGAAATACTGAAGTGGGGGGTATGAGGAAGGGTGAGGAAATTAAAAGGCCGTTTTCACACTTGGAACAAACGCGGGGCGCGTGAAAAACGGTGACGAAGGGTGCTAGGTGTGAAAATGGGGGAGGAAGTGTCGCGGCGACGAGGTGTCTGGTCTGGAGTGGCTCGGCTTGCAAGTTGAAATGATAAGCAAATGTTGCACAGTAAGCGACTTTTTTCATCTCTCCTTACCAGTTACGTTATATCTTCTAACAATATTTCTCACACTGTACCGCGATAAGTCTAACAAAGTTGCAATTTCTGAGCTTGATTTCCCAGAATTAAAAAATCTAATTATCAGTAACCGAATTTTCTCACTAATAACCTTTCCTCTACCCATTTTGAAAACCTTAACTACCCACAACTATTTTAAACGTATTCTGACAGCTGTGATTAATAAAAACAATTATCATGGCTTTTATTTTTCACAGCCACCCATGCGTTATAGACTTATTTTGGATTGAAACGAAAATAGGTTGATATGCTGTAATTGCAACATGTGTTATTTTTATGCTGCAAATTTGATTAGGAAGTGATAAAGTTGGCGTTTTCTACTATATATTATCAAAATATTCATTTTTAATATGTTAATCCTACATTTTTATGATTTGTGTTTGATAAGAAAAAAAATAAGATTTCAATAGTTGGGCCCACTGAAGTGGGAAGGGGCTCGTATCTATAAACTACAACATTACTTTATGGACAACTTGATGAATAAGTAGAAATACATTCTTTTGTTTCTCGGGTAAGTAGTGAGATTGTTATTTTCAATAAAATGCTGTCATACCAATCCATTGTGTCCAGAGTGATTGACGTCCTTTGTTCAGATTGACTAATTTTCGTTTGCAGATCCAATTTTGTTCCGGGGATCAAATGAAAATATGGGTTTTTGCAGCTGCCACATGTTATTCATAAATAATTTGTTGACCCAGCCTTCTTACACCAATCGTAATTTTAAAAGCAAACAAAACACCTTCTTATTGGTCAGTTTCGATCCTGTAACCCGCAATGTTGGCCAAACATAAAGAAATAACTTACAAAAAGGAAATATCTTAGACGCTTATTGCAATAAACCGTATTGATTGTCTTGCTTTTGAAGAAAGCAGTTATAAATAAATTTGCCATCATTACCATTGCAATTGTGGTTAAGTGGAAGACCAGCCATTCCTCTATAGGAATGAAAGCTGAACTTCGCGTTTTCCAAGTATCACTTCCATATCTCTGTACCTTGATACCAACGAATAAAGATGATTATTATTAATAAAAACAGTTGTACCGGGTGCCCCACACTACAAATTGAAAATTCAACTTTATTTAATAGCACACGCTGTATTCAAGAAAAGGCATTACATGGAAAACTTTATATTTGACCTTGTAACACTAAACTTGTTTTAAACTTCCTTTCAATAGGGTGATGAAAATACCACAGGGAAATCAGTTTATAATGAAATACCCTCGTTCAACCCAAAACATAAACAGCTACACCGGCCATTCCGAGAGTAATAAATCAAAATCCCTAGAAAAAGCAAGTAAATGAGTTTTGTCGGGTTGGCTATGATCTTGTTCCTCCCACCACTCTCTCTAAACCGGACGTACTCTCTCGGTTCTCTCCGGTTCATTTCATCCATCATATTTTAAGGGCACCGAGCCTTTTATTACAGTTTAAATTTGATTGGAGTCAATTTATCATCTTTAAGTTATAATTGAAACGTCCTTGTAAACTGCTTCGCCACTCCGGAGCTTCAAAATATCCGCCCGGAGCAGAATGATTTATCGTCCGGGCATGGATAAGTTTTTTAATCATGCTTTTCTGCGCGGTTGACAATCAGCGTTCTCTTGTACTACTATAAATAGTTGGATAGAAGTATATAAAAATGATGCAGCATAAATTTATAATAAGTTAGACGCCGAAATACAGCGTTAGGTTGACTATCTACACGCAAAACACGTTAATTAGTGATAGAAGATTATTTTTGAAAATGGTTTCTTATTTATTTCTTATTTTTTACATCCAACGCCTACATGATCCTTTATGAACTGACGACACCTTTGTGTGGGAAATGTAGAGTCAACCTACTTTACGCTACTTTTCCTAAAATGGGAACTTACTTAAAGTTCGACTATTTCGAGTCTACGAACTACTTACAGAACCTTGAAGAACGTGAATAAATTACAAAACTACTGCCACGCGGATCGAAAAATCTTCTTGATTAAAACACTTCCTCCGGATTTGAAAGCACATCAAAGTCCCAACTATAAAAAATCCTTTCCCATAACGCATACATATGTATCAATTCACCCGGTCTCGTATTGTATTTCATCCTCCTTGTCACAAGTCCGGGTCGTTCAATTTACATGAAATATCCCGAAAGGAAATTGGCAAAAATGTATACAAAAACAGCAGATGTACTAGTATAAATATGTAAATTTGCGAAATGTGTCTTTGGCACATGTACACGAATAACTGTAGAAAAAATTCGAATACAAATATAAACCGTAGGGAAAACCTATGGAATGTCAATATGGAAATGCGCGATATTCATAGAGTCAGCTTGGATAATATAATGGAAATAGTGAACGCACATCACAATGGGACGTTTACCTTTGTCATAAAGGAGACAATTTTTGGCACTCCAGGTGGAATATTTTCGGAAGTAGCTGAGCTTTTCATGGAGACTTATCAAGGCATAGTGTAAATATCCATAAGCGGCAGTCTGGTGAGACGTAATTACCGTCAAGTAGATTGAATCTATACTTCCTTCCTCTAAAATTTTTTTCAAAACTTATCAGGATCCTCTAAAATGTCAAAGAAACGAATTTCTTCTGCTTTTTGGCGTTTTTCCCCGCCGCCACTGAACCGATTTTCTGAAATTACAAGGTCTTTAGCATAGTAATCTTGTGTAAAAATTGCATTTGAATGCGAGAGGTGCCATACATGTGAGATAACGTCCAGAAGACATAATGTCTCAATTTCGCGATTACAATACTTCCTATCTAATCGGCGTGGGGGAGTAAAAGAAACACCAGAGTTTGGCAGCGCACACCTTTTCCATTTTTATACGACAAGATATGTAAATATCAATTTTGAAAGCATTCGGATCCAGTATAACACACTGCATATTTATGCTACTCGTGTTTGATTTATACATTATTGCTTCATAATATTCGTGGAATATCGGGAGAACTTCGGCCTGCGGTAGCGGAAAACTTGTAAAATATATCTGGGCTTACAGCAAAGCACCTAAATTATTGAAGGTGGATAGTTGTGTGCTGAATGCGAGTCCGAGTCCGAACGTCCATGAATTTGTTATTAGCTGTGTCAGTTGCATCATTCGTTGCAGTATTGGTACAGATGGACCTGCTGAATTCCTCATGAAGCTTTGGCCACGTCGCAGGAGACGAGCCGTGGACATTTATACAGTGTGTCCCAACGAAAATGGATCGTAGCTTTGGAAGCAAACCGAAAAAATGTATCAAAAGCGGTTTTCGTGTCAACATTTGTATGTTAATTGTGAATATCTTATAATTATTTTATCACATAAATTCAAGCCATAGCTACATTTTTATTTGTTTAAATAGAACACCCCACATTTTATTGCATATTCTAAAAGCGAGGGGTTCCATATCATGTAACATATGATTTCGATTGTCAAATTTTCTATCAAAACGATAGCTTCTATTAACACCACAAAAATATTCAGGCTGAGGCAATAAATCGTTGATAAAATGTTCGAATATATTACCGGTTGAAATTGCCTTGCATGTCTAAAAGACTTTGTTTCATGTCCAGAGAAAGAAGTCGAGCGGCGTCAGATCGAGAGATCTCACTGGCCAATTGATGGGTCTGCCTCTATCCAACTATTCGGGTTTCAGCGGTCTAGATACGATTCTAGTTAATCGCAATACAGAATCGTGTACCAGGGAATCAACAAAACTACTTGAAATTTGTCACAACAATTTTTTGATGCATGACTTGGGTTAAGTTGAATCTTAGTGTGAAAAAAAATCATTGTTTCCATGGAAGATCTGATTTTAAGTCTAGCTTAAATCGATGACGATAAAGTTTCACTTCAACACGTTCTAACAGCCGTTTACTGATTCTCGGATAATTCAGGTCAGTTTTTATATGAATCTCAGATTTCTGACAATCAGAATATACTTGCTAGAGCTAGGTGAATGTGTTTTGCTTCTAAATTCAGAACCTTTGTGCATAGGGCAGCACAGATGGACTAGATTTCAACTACTGGGAGCTTGCACAGGTTCGATATATCCGGTCCCTAAGTTTACAATCAATGAATAAGTTATCGTGGCCTAAATTGCTTGACCACTTGACGTTTAGAGAGAATATGATTTTGCCGAATATCTTTTTCACGAGAATCCATTACGGTAGAATATCAGCTCATTTATCTGGTAATATTTCAGAAATTCTCATATCAACAAATGACACAATTCTGACAGATTCACATTTTATTTTGGTATCTTGTACACTTTTCTGCTTACTAACAACTACTTTATTCAGAAAACTTAATTTGCATACAAAACAAACACCACAAGAACATCAGCCTTCCAGTTATTTGAATATGTGGGCTTGATGGATTTTTTGACTCTTTTTCTTCACTGTATTGAAAGCAGATTCCAAAGTAAATGTGCAAAAGTCCGTGACACATGGATCTGATTCTTTTTTTAAGAGCTGAAGTGCCGAAGTACTGCCGTTGCTGTGACAATGTTGAGGTTACAAACTTTGAACTGATTTATGTAAGTAAAATTGGTGAAAACCTCTTCTAGATTCCAGAGCAACTAAAAGAAATTTAGAAAGCTAAATCGATAGACTGACTAATGCAAGAGATGTTCTTTTACTTGAATCATAGATACAAGAAATAAAAATTTATCGGATATAGAATTTTATTCAAAATACTATCTCGCATACACATTGCACTGGATGACATGATTTAGTAAGAAATCTGCAACTACAAGATCTAAACATAACTGTTTGTATCGGGCGTATCTTTTTACTTTATCCTTTGGCAACAGAATCTGTCATTTCCCCAGACGATGTAGTCTTGCATTTTTGGCTTCGAAAGTTCTACTATTCTTCTTGAAGGTGTACGCGATGTGGATATACGACTTTGTTCTACGATACTTGTCGACTTTTTCTCGTTTGCGGGTCTGCTTTTAGATTTTTCCATTTGAGAACCGGTTCTGTTTGACCTCTCCGCAGGAAGTGCCAATTTTGTTAACATTTGGCGCGTTTCTAGGCTTGACCATTTGGGTATCTTTTTCAGATCCATTCTTGTTCAGAGTGCAGGATAATCGAGGAGGAATGAATAGTGCTGCGAATTTTGATTGACAAGTTGACGGTTCGAAAATGTGCAGGTGACAAATCCAACTCCGCACGATGAAGTATAGAAGTGGAGCAATCGTAGGCATACTCTGGGTATGAAGAGCCTTCAGAACGCTTATACAGGATGTAAAGCTATGGATGAATAAACAAGAGTCGGATGATAGCAATAGCGGGTCTTTCAGTTTAAGAGAGAAGACATAAAAAGCCATGGATATCCAAGGAATACAAGAAAAAAGTATATGTAACTATAAGCACCCTTTGTCTGGCAAATATCCCGTTTGCCGCGTGGATCACCCATTCGAGAGCAGTCCGTAAGTTACAAACCGCCTTGTCTGCACATTCAATTCTCCACGAATCCCGTTTTGTCCGTACTCCGACTCAGAAATCAGCGTCCGATAAAACTCGAGACCCGCCTCCTTAAAAGCAATAACAATTGAAATACGTGATCGGAAAGAACGAATCGCGCGGCGTTTCTCTTTTTTCCCCGACACCACGAAATTATTTCGGCAATTACGGGAATCGGATGAACGGCGGACAATGGCAGTCTGACCCAGATAACGAAGATTAAGTGTCTTTACGGCTGGTGCATTGTGTTAGGATCGGAAAGATAGGTATCCTTCGTGGTATGAGGTTAGAGGTCTGAACATATTGTGGTTGATGGGCAGGTTGACCCAAAAATTGCAAATTGGTTTTTAATACTTAAGCAGTCGAGTAGGCAGAAACTTGTCTGCAAATCAGACGCATTCACTTGTTACTCACACTAACAAATCTAACTTTCTTTAAAATATGGCAGTCCACACGTAAGTGAGGATCCGATACTATACTAAGTGACATATACATCCGAACACCCAGTTTAAATGGTTTTATTTTAATAAAAGTTGGTGAATGTATTTATCTTACTGTAAATAACAAGTGAAAACATTTTCAGCCTTATCAGTTGGACATTCCGGTTTTTATACTGCTTTTTTTTAATTCACTAACGCTCTAAAAATGAATATTTCAGCCGCAGTAAAGAATCAACGTTGGCGGATTTTGGTTCTTGACATCCTTTACGATCGGTTACGATGCCTAGAGTACGGAGACCTGTACGATTTCGTCAACTTAGTGAGTTTGATAGGGGTCGTATAGTGGGACTTCGGGAAGTTGGACTTTCTTTTCGGGCAATTGCAGTTAGAGTGCAAAGAAGTGTAGACACTGTGGTTAGGTGTTGTCAGGCATGGCTTCGAGAAGGCCGTACGCAAAGAGCAAGGGGCACTGGACGCCGCCGTAGAACAACAGACCGTGAAGATCGCCGCCTAAGATTATTGGCCTTAAGGGACCGTTTCTCCACTACCAGGTCCATTGCAAACGAATGGTTTGCAGAACATGGAAGACCTATTGGCATGCGAAGTGTTTACCGACGAATGAGAAGTTTTGGCTTGTTTTCATACCGGCCACACTGGGTCCTCCCTTTAACTCGAGAACACCGACGTAATCGCCTTGAGTGGTGCAGACGAGTCTCGATTTTGTTTAGGCATGCACGATGGTCGTGCCAGGGTTAGAAGGCGACGTGGTGAAAGGAGGAATCCACAGTTTTTTGTTGAAAGACATGTTCATCACATTGTTGGAGTTATGGTTTGGGGTGCTATAGCTTATGGTTCCAGGTCACCTTTAATCTTCATCAGAGGTAACATGAACGCGCAGCGTTATATCCACGAAGTTCTAGAACCCCATCTTTTACCCTATATTGACACCCTGGCAGATCCAACTTTCCAACAAGATAATGCCCGATCACATGTTGCATGAGTCACAATAGACTTTTTTCAACATAATGATGTCACATTGTTACCATGGCCATCAAGATCTCCCGACTTATCCCCAACTGAGCACGTGTGGGATATGATGGGTACGAGATTGCTCAATTTGCAACGTCCTCCTCAGACTCTAGAAGCACTTCGAGAGGAGTTGGTGGTTGCCTGGAATGAGATACCACAGGAGGACATTGACCACCTGATCAGAAGCATGCCTAGGCGCGTTGGACACATTATTAAAGGTCAAAGGGCTTTAAAACAGTGCAATCATTTTGAAATTTTTATCATTTATTATAAATTTTATTAAAATAAAACCATTTAAACTGGGTGTTCGGATTTATATGTCACTTAGTATATTCCAAGTTATTCTATGTTTGACACTATTAATTCATTTAATTTTGATAAAATCATGTTCAATTACATTGTTTAGATGAGAGCAGTCATTGCATTCATGTAATATTGCAGTATTGTCTGCAGGTTATTTTGCCAGCAATTTGTAAAATATCGTTTAGATTAGATATGTACTATGTAGTTTCATGCCAACATCTGAAATACTTCTCAAGTAATAAGGAAAATAAAAAATAAAAATGTAACTTTGACTTTGGACTGAGGTATGGTTAGGTCAATTCACATATTTTGGTCTGTAGTATATCCAGTTTTGAGATTACAATCTCCTTGCTAGATAATCTGGATGTCTGGACAGATTGTGAGCGGTTTGCTAGGTAATTTTCGATCAGTGAGTATGTTTTTCCTGTAAAACCAAGTATCTCCAATGTTTCTGTTTAAATCAACAAAAATGCAAATAGCAGGAATTTTGTTGTCAACATTTTGATGTATTTGATTCACAATTTCAATCATCGCGACCTTCTGTAAATCTATATTGATTTTCACTTGACATTTTATATTTTGTGAGGCATCGAACAATTCTAGTAGATAAAACTATACATAATGGACTGGCAGCAGAATCGATGGACTTTACCTTAAACAAGCAAACAAGTTAATCCTCAATTTTCATGCAGATTTATATTTAATAAAAGTTCGAATGGAATGTGTACAGTCAGTGTGACTGTTGGTAATTTGTGGACTCAACTAGCTAACGTGACAGGTGTAATTGAAACTTTCCGCGGAAGTTCAGCCTGCTTTATTTTATGGCTGTTGCCCTTTTGGGTGCAACTCGCACTCAGATAACCTATCTACCTCGACTGCAATAAACGGTATGCGGTAATGAATTCGCCCCAATTCAGCGTTAAACTGTCCGGTGGCCTGTCTGTCCGATAATCCCTTTACAACTTGAAAAGCATCGTTCTGCTTGTGATGAAATTTTCACTCAAGGTCACCACTATGGCAAGCACGAAAAAGCTTTGTAGGTTTTGACAATCGTTCAAACTTCGTTTTTTGTCGTATCAGAGACAAAGGTGGAAATTGTAAATGTTAGAAGCTTCTGATCTAGGTAATGTCAGACAAATTAATACACCGATAAATTTAAAGTTGCAAAGGCACATGGTACAAGCATACCTCCGCGCAGGTCATAGGCATCTCACATTATAAATACTTGACACACTATTTTTGATGATTCGTCAATGATATAGTATCACCGAAAAAAGTTACATTATCAAGATATTTCTCATCTCTGAAATATTACGCATGATACAGTCAGATCAGAACAGACATGTGATTCTTATTTCTTTACAGTTTGAGACGTCAGGAGCCGTTCAAGTATTACTTGAATAGATTTCTTACAATTATTAATCCCCCCTCCCCCTTGTCAGCAAAGGTAAACAAGTCTCTCACCCCCTCCCCTCCCTTACGTATACATTTTGGTACATCGTAAACTTTGAAACCAGTATAAATTGAATTTTTCTGATCAGACCCAACCTGGTCATGAGAGGTTTGGTTTCGCTGGATGGCAGAGTTATACCAAAGCACTTCGAAGGTGAGTCATTTATTTTAACAGTGAGTAGATCTGATCAAAAGAAATGTTTTTTCCTTTACCATTATTCTGGTAAAATTAAAGTAACAAAGTTATAGCCATTTGGACGTTTGAGTACCGCCCTGTCTCAATAATAATATTATGTGCTCGTGTTTAGCGACAACGGATATAATCCGCCGTATCGGTTCATCGCATCGGAAACAAAAAAGCGAAAGAATTTGGAACGATGTTTTTACAATTATTTCATTCATTTGTATACAGTCAGTGTCAGTGAATAGTGGTATCTGTTGCGTGGATCAAACGAAATAAAAAATGGCACATGTTTATGTGGATCGGTTTCCCAAATCGAGTGCCTTTGTTAATGTAGTACAACGGGCTCGTGAATCAGGTGACTTAAGACCTCACAGGGGACCTCACGATCAAATACAGGTCCGCACTGAAATACTTGTCGGGAGGATACTTTATAAAACAAGGTAAACATTTTTTTTTTAATTTTTTTTTATTTTTACACACATATTTTGGTTTATCTTCCTTCTACAATCATTATCTTAAAATTAATGACTCAACTTCAAAGTATATGAGTCAGTAAAACAACCAAACTAGTTTCAGGAGTCACATCTACGATAATAATGTTTGTTTTCTCATTCCACATGCCTCAATAGTTTTTTCCGTTTGCGGATTGATACTTTTATGAGAAATTAAGAAGTCTTTGTCAGTAGAATGGTATCTAGCGCCCCCTTTTCAAGCTCTCTGAGACAGCAGGCGACGTCCACAGCTTGCGAGACATAACAGTCGCGCAGTCGTAGCGAATATGAGACGTACACACAAACAGACACAGCAGAAGCTGGAGGAGGAAATAAAGGAGTTGAATCGGATGATGGTCCGTAATCAGAGCGACACTTCATAGGCAGTAATGTCGTTTAGCGCCGGCTCAGGAAGGCAGCGCGAGTAATCTTCAAAGAATTTCACACCTATTTTCATCTTATATTATCCACTTATATGCAGACAAGTGCCACGTTAAATGCTCGCCTATTCCACATGGACGTTCTGGAGATTTTTCGGTATGGGCAAGGAAAAACGGTACAAACGTTTTGTATCTGATAAGACGGGACTGGGGTATTAATAATAGTAATAAACTTATTCCAGCACAATGAAAGGATAAAATATAATCTATCAGTATCGAAAAAAACAAAAATGATAAATTTCAGCTCAAGATACAACTTATATGACTGCATTCACAATTAGACTAGCAGATAAGAATCGTACCAAAAGAAAGCATCTTAACAGACGAACTTACGTTAACTAAATTGTCAGCAAAGCTTTCACTAACATTCTAGTGTTTGTTCCAATATGTCATGTAACTTTTTTGTTTATTCAGTAGTAAACCGATATTGACGTGCCAAAAATGTTTGTACATTAACTGGTTCAAATAACTTCTAATCGACTTGACTGTTTTTCGCGTTGAGGTACCCAATTGACATCACCTTTCTGCGCCTCTGTCTCGACTTGCAGCAGCAAAATTATCAACGCTACCGTTGATAATGTAGGGTGCTCGTGTTGTAGATGCTCGGATGAATCGCTAATGGCCACTATCATGCCTCTACAGGCGCCATCTTTGAAATCGGATGCTCTCTTCTGTTTCGTCCGCGACTGAAGACGACAATACTACCGCCGTCTAGTGCAATGAGCTGGTTGGTTAGTAGTTATGAGGAAGGTCATTTCGATGAAAATTTTCCAAAATCGTTTTAGATATGGTGGTGGTCGAATTTAAAACACCTTATGTACAGGGTGTTTTGGAAGTTGGGATTTTTGTTCTTAGAAACAGCTTCGTTTGAAATGATAAGTCTAAAGTACAGCGAACGCACAGCGAAATAGTTAAAAACGTACACTGAAGGAAGCATTTATCGTGTATTTGATGAAAAACTCTAAGCTTTGTCGAGCAGCGTTGCAATACTGGAGGATTTTCCTCCAGGTTTCAGAGATTTCTTTACCTTTCAACCAATTTTCAACGCAATTATCTGACAATTTTGTTTCGAAAATAATGTCTTGAAATCTATTACAAATAAGAGTCGGCAATATCTCATCAAATATTTTTATTGCAGGTATGTATCTCACATTGACGGTAAGAGGACGTAAGTACCAGTAATATTTATAAGTAATCCTATTCACCGTTGGCTATCAAGTATGATATAGACGAGTTATGATCTCATTTAGAACAAGAAACTCAAAATTAGTTACTTTAAGGTCAAGATAATCTAGTCTTTGAATCCATTCTTGGACAAGTTTGAATGAGCATAAGAAACATTTAAAAATAAGTTGTATACTCGTTCAGTGCAGAAAATCAGAACAAAAATGTGAAATAGACAATTAATTTTTAGTTTCATATGAATGTAGAGTCACTTGAATCTTGGAGAAAGATAAACTAGCAAATAATAGTTACTCCATAGTGCATAAAATTCAAGACTATCATGTGGTATGAATTAAAGTACATAATAAGGAGCTAGAAACAGTACATAAAATTGAGAATAGAAGAGAAGGAAATAGTGAGGATTTGGTCAGCATAAAAATTAGTCAAAGTAACGCGAAAATATCGTCAATTTGAGGATTATCACTGGACAACAAATTTTAGTTTTTTAATTGTATCTTGTGGGAAAAGTGCACTTCTTTGTTAATTTTGGGGCGCTGAATCCAAAAATGACAATGAAATAAAAAAATTAGTTGCGGTTTAGAAAAAAACTTTTTATTTTTAAGGATATATTAAAAAAAGCAACAAGATTCATATACTTATAAGAATTACTATATGCGCTGACTTTTTGCTGTTCTTTTATGGATCGTTTCTGGAGCATCTCGACCAAGAGTCCAACGGTAGTCTGCAAGCATGGAAGGATTCCACTTTCCCTGGTACCTTTTTTCCATTGTTGAAATATCCTGATGAAGACGTTCGCCGTGCTCATCACTTACGGCTCCGCAATTGTCAGGAAAAAAGTCCAGGTGTGAGTGTAGGAAATGTATCTTAAGAGACATATTACAGCCCATCTTTTGATACGATGACAGCATATTTTTGACAAGGGTTTTATAGTTGTCAGCTTTTCTATTTCCCAAGAAATTAGTGACCACCAGACGGAAATCATTCCAAGCAGTTTTTTCAATACCTGTTAATGTGTTTTCAAACTGTGTATCTTTCAAAATATTTCGATTCTGTGGCTCAACAAAAATACCTTCTTTAACCTCTGCCTCACTTAGTCTTGGAAATTTCTGACGCAGGTATTGAAAAGCTGACCCATTTCTATCTAATGCCTTGACAAAGTTTTTCATTAGGCCCAACTTGATAAGCAGTGGTGGTAATAAATTTTTTTTCGAATCTACTAATGGCATATGCTGTACATTTTTTTGACCTGGCTCTAGGAATTGACGAACTGGCCAGTTTTGTCTGGTGTAATGAAGTGCCTTTGCCCGACTGTCCCATTCACACAAAAAACAGCAAAGCTTTGTGTAGCCTAGCTGCAGTTCAAGTAAAAGTGCAACAACTTTCAAATCGCCACAAATATGCCATTGGTGCTCATCGTATTTTATGCATGTCAATAGGTACTTCATATTGTCATATGATTCTTTCATGTGAACTGCATACCCTACAGGAAGAGATAGTAAAATATTTCCAATATGCAATAATGCTGCCTTTAAACTCAATGTTGAGCTGTCTATAAACAATCTCCATTCTTCTGGGTTATAGTTTATGTTTAAAGCCGCCAGTAAGCCGTTAATGTTACTGCAGAAAACCAAGTTATTCTCCATATTGAAAAATGGTTCTGACTTTGTGGCGTTTACGAAAAACACATACCGAAACATCGTCTTCTAACAAGTGCCACTGCTGCAGTCTTGAGCCAAGTAACTCTGCCTTACATTTTGGAAGTTCTAAATCTCTTACAAGATATTTAATTCTGACTGTGTTATTTTGTGCGGTTGGTGGCATGACGTGCTCGGTATAAAATCAGGATCTCTTGACGTTGATGGCATATCTTCTTCCTGACGAATCACTCGATCGCCATGATCTGATTCGTTTTCTGATTCGCAAGTGTAGGATTCTGGGGGTTTTGGAATAGGATTTTCGTCACTGTGAGGCACAGGTCTCATCGCAGATGGTATGTTTGGGTAGTTAATAACCAATTTTTTTTTCTTGGACATACCTATGGCTTGTCCAACACAAGGTACCATGAAAAAGTAACAACCATTAATATGATTTGTAGGCTCTCTCCAAACCATTGGGACAGCAAAGCGCATAGACCATTTTTTGCCATTTAACCAGGTCCTCAGACTTGAAGCACATGTATTACAGCAGATGTGGGGTGCACACTGTTTGTCTTGATGACCTAGTTTACAACTGAAATAAAGCTGATATGCCTTTGTTATTAGTGGAGTAATAGACCGTCTCTGAGACGCAAAAGTCACATCACCACACACGTAACAAAGCTGATCTGGATTGTTTACACACTTTCGAGACATCTTGCATGAACGCTGTCAGCCAACTGAGGAAAAAATGGCTAATATAAAACAATATAATGTACACGTATGTATAACGTAACACAATCATGCCGATTACATCATCTTTCCTTGCCGAATATAAAAATGTAGCACGTGCATTCTTGTGAATTACAGTATATTTACACTGTCACAGCAGGAATACATATAATTACCGTATCTCTAAAACTTGAACTAATATTGAAAAAATAAGTTTCATTCCGGTTTTAGCACATTAAAAATAGTAATATTTTGTTGATTTTATTTAGGATATTTTTTGGCTGTTGATCAGTGTTATTTATGTTTTCATTAGCTATTTGCTTTGTTGTATTCCAAGGCCTTTTTGCGAATATACCCATAGTGAATATACATTTAAACATAAAATATACGGTTTCTTATTAGCATTATTAGACATTCCAGAAAAGTTAGTTTAAAAGAATAGACGTTTAAGGGATTTTCGTATAAAATTTTCCTTTAGGTTAGGAGCAAGATGTCGAAATGCGGTTTTTACGAGCTTGCTTAGACATCATATAGCTGCTTTTCCATAAAAGAACGAGAAAATGATCATTTCTATCGAAATGTGAAACTAACAAAACTTCAAATATTTGTAGATCAAGCATACTGAAAGCGACGTTGATAAAGATTTTTCCACTTTATCATCAGATAAAAATCAAGTTTTCCAATTGCCTGTTTGTCTGGAAGAATGACCTGACACGTCTATTATGAGCATTATGTGACCGCCATCGCTTTGTACTGATTTTAACGTTTTAAGCTTATAATGAATTCCGCTAAAGCGAAAATTTTTGTTGAAGCATTTTGCATTCAAATCAGGAATTTATATTCACCATAGATCGTATACACTTTTGTTTAATCAATTGCTGGGTAATGAATCAGAAATGTAAAAACAACCAAATCTATATTTGAAATACGAACTCGTTGTATTTTCTGTCTCTCTGTTCGCAATGAATAACTACACGGTTGAATATTAATTTGTGTCATTCCGTTATTGTTAAAATTAATTTGCATATAGCATAATGAAATCCGCTTAGGTCGTACATTCAAAAACGTCAATGGAAATCCAACAACTTTTCATCGAAATGACATATGACAATGTCATATATTATTATGTGCAATGCCCATTCAAAGCATATCGAATTTAAAAACACTTCGACACTTTCCAAAGTAACTTTGGGACCAATGGATATTGAACAGTAACTATTTAGGATGCAACTTCTAATTTTTTTTAAATCAAACCATAAGTGTGCTTCTTTAACTTTTATTTTCTCAAACTATATGTAGTAAGACCAATAGAGCTGCAGTAGCAGATATAAATACAAATGGGCGGTAAAAGAAATACCTTCGCTCTCATAAATAAGCACACAATATACTGATTTTGCAGATGAAAAATCTGCCACCGTTTAACAAATTCATATTGATTAAATTTGTATTGCTTTTGTATGATTATATTGTTTTGTTGCCAAATGCTAATAACAATGGTTGTAGTTTTACATTTATTGGTTATCCTGTTTATAAAACCACAATGGGGTATTAACAAAGGGTACACCCGTATGCGATATTTACATTTCGCGTGATTTGGCTAAAATAATCCGTTTGCACATTTGGCACGCAATATTTCAAACTGGTGCTTACAAATTTGAGGCAAAACAATAATATAAGGTATACAGGGTGTAAAGTTAGTAGTGTTTCAACGGGAGTCAGGTGATAGAGGGCCTCTATTACTTGACTTCCGTTGATCCACTACTAACTTTACACCCTGTATTAACAATGTATTATTAGTAAATTAAACGTAGCTAGAAGCGTGGATAGCAACAAAATATTAATTTACTTAAGCAGCATCGCAGCCTTACTATAGAATTATTATTATTATTATTATTATTATTATTATTATTTATTGGTACTACACAGAAATGTGTTTGTACAAGTCAGCTAAAGTAAAACATAAAAAGTAAGTAAAAACAACAAACAATAAGTAAATAAGACAAACATGAAACACAAAGTGGCAGTAAACGGTAAGGAGCTAATAAAATCAAAGTTAAAATTCAGATGAATAATGAATCGGGTTGGTTAAAAAATTATAAAAGAGCCTAAATACAATAAAAGTTATGCGAGTCTGGAGAAGTTAGAGTTAAGGAAGTATTCTACGTCGAAAAAAGCTTCAGATAGTAGGAAGCATTTCATAGTTTTGCTGAATTCCAGAGATTTTATTCAATCTGGCGAGAGGTTGTACAATTTTAACCATTTCTAGTTTTGAAAAGGCCACGACGATTTGGACACAGATGTTCTTTGTTTCTGGTGTTCTAAAGATGAGTACCTTGATGAGTTGCATAATTATTGTGGAAGTTTTAACATGCATGAGGCAAGCATACAATCATATTCAACTTAATTAATTCATTCCTGCAAGGATCTCTGTACCTCAAATTTATTATGTATCTAACACACCTACTTCTGTAAGCCAAAAATTCTAGGCATGAAAGACCCCGTGCCAGAATTGCGCAGGTCATTCTACTTTGGAAGTATGCATGATAACTGCTGAGTAGTGCTCTCTGAGACACTGACTTTCTTAGATAAATAGCTTTTGTCAAAGAT